AAAAATTAAGCTTTTTTTGCCATTCCTTTGTTTTAGACCCCAACTCTCTATCCTGTGCTCTTCTGAAGCACACTGCTTGCAAAACTCTGTAGGGTTAGTGTTCTGTGTTTGAGCAATGCCTGCCACAAAGCGGAGCCCCATTCTTGCTTGGGTTTCAAAGGCAAACATAAAAGTGACTAAAAAGAGAATGCTGCAAAACACAGTTTAAAGGGGTTTAGTTAAAAAGAAAGGTTTAGAAGGCATTTTCTTGAGGTCTTTATGATGGTCATGGTAGAATAGGATGATCTTATTTTATGTCATCCTATAATATAAAAAGAGATTTAACTTGATGAAATACTACAGTCAGTCAGTGTTGAAAACTTAGAAATAAGTGCAATTGACCAGTGGAAATCCCTCCTGGTGGAAGGCAGTGGACTTAAGCTGATGCAACTGAAAACAGTTTTAAGAATGAGCACATAACTTTATAAATTCCAGAAAGAAAATGAAAAATGTATCACCTCAGAAATGAAGGGAACAGACCCTCCACAAATGCAGAGTGGAATAACTGCTACAACAGAAGCAGGCTGGGGCAGCCTGGGGGCATACAGCAGACCACAAGCACTGTTTTACAGTGTTCTAAGAGGAATTAAGGCTTGAAAGTTTACTAATGAGTACAGTCAAATAATTACAAGCCCTCAGGTGAAATACTTAGTCCAGATTTGGGCACTAAGCTTTCAGATGAATGCAAAATATCCACATGTGGTCATAAAAGATTGTAACAGTGAAGAACAGGTGACTGATAAAGCAAAGTCAATATCATTGTCTGATGAAGAAAAGTGAAGGTTTGGGGAATAAGGGATGATTTGTCCTCCCTTGTGTAGCAGGTTATTAGAAAAATAATAAAGCCCCCTTTATGTCAATTGAAGGGATGAGTGTGTATAGGCTTTATTATAGCCAGGGAAAGTAGATGTTGACATAAGAAATTCTGTAAGAACAATTAAGTATTGTTACAGGCTACCAAGGAAAAATGGCTAGACATTCATCATTAGAACTTTTAGTTACAGGTTAATGATAAATATCTTTCAGTTACATTTTGTGTAATTTCTGGAGTTCTTGTCCAGCGTTATCCTTCTATTGTATTTAGTTAAGGTGTACTTTTAGCAATTTCAAGGTACCGTGAGGATACACAGGCACACCTCCAGGCCAATCTGGTTGCAAAGCAAAATAATGCGTGTGACAACATAACTGTCAGAAGTAAAATGCCTATGCAAATCTTAAAATGAACAAACTTACACCAAAATGTATCAACTTCTGTTTCAGAAAGGACATACTGATTAAGAAATGGATGGGAACGTACAGCATTTTCATACAAAATAACACATTTCTAAGGACAACCCCCTTGTGATTTATGCAAACAGTAGCCTTAATTCTGTATTGTCTTCCTACTTGCTTCTGTTTTTCTGTTGATTTTCTTCCAGCACACTGTCAAAATACTGTACTCTGTGTTCTCTGAGTCAGGGACTTGTATAGCTTATTTACATGTGCAGTTTCACAGTGACGTTCACAGTGTTTCTTAAATAGGTATGTACGTTATCAGTTCAGATTATAAAGTTTTTAGGATAGAGGCTATTTTTCTTAGTTTTGTACAGCACCCAGCACATTGGAATCTAGATGGAGGAAGTATTCATGTCTGCGTAATAAATGCACAGAAGAGTATTCACAAGAGCAATATTCCCCGCCACGCATACTCAGTTAATACAGTGCTACATAGGATGCCGTTTTCTCATAACGAGTTGTGCTACTGGTTGAAGTTAGCCTTACTGAACTTGTATTCTTTAAAGGTTGGAGCATAAATTGGCGCTGAAGTAATCTGGGAAAAGAAGAGCTGATATTTTGGCAGAGTTGTTTAAATATGTATTTGTCTGTTCTTGTAAATCAGTCATTTTGGCTACTTTTTCAGGAGTGGTTTTGTGCAAGTCTGCTCATGGGTCCCAACTTCTGATACCCTATGCACTTAAAAGCTGACAGAGGTAGTGGCCTGGGCCAAAACAAGACCCTTGATGTCTCTACTCAGCTTTTAAGCATTCATTTATGAATATATTTTGCCCGGTTTATGTACTCACCATGTAGCACAGTATGGTAGACAATTACATAAAAATACAAAGCTATCTATTTCTAAATAACTCCTAGTGTAAATTGAGTCATCTCTGCTTTATGTAACTTCACTGTTGTTAGAGATCATGAAAGTTGTATACCATTTTCTTCCCAAAGTGCTTTCCTGTATCATGTCTTGACATATTACCACCTGATGTGTAATGCATTTTTCATTGGATGCAATAGCACTAAATATAGGTGTTGAATCTGCAGTGCTAACATGTGTGAGCAGTCTTAAACTCAGTAGGCTTGCTCAAAGGCGTGGGTGTTAAGAGGCTCAGGGTTTTACTTTGAGAGACTCTGAACTGAAGCAAGCTCTGTATTTGTAGCCCACTATGTCCAGATGAAGGTCTGCTAAAATTATTGCTGTAGTCAGACCTCACTGTAAACTATCTATACATGTGTATAGAGTTTACTTAAGCTTTTAAGTAAAAATAGAAAGCTTAAGTATGTAATCCTCTTTTTTTTCTCCTCCTTTTTTTTTTTTTTTTTTTTTTAAAAAAAAACCAAAACCCACTGATAATGGCAGTATCCTTTTTAGGCCCT